CTCACCAGTTCCTCACATCGCACATCTTCTCAACATTTTGCAAATGGAGAAATTGGGGTCCAGGGCAGTGACTCCCCAGGTCACCAGGGAGTTAATGGCTTGGCCAAGGTCCAGTCCGAGGCCCTATTAGCTGTCTTGAGATTAAGCCAAGGCTCCAGCTGGGAAAAGGAGCAGGGGGTGCTTCTGGCCAGGGAGGGGGAAAGCTGGGAGCTGAAGTTCCCCAAAAGAGATGAGGGAGAGTCCAGCCCGTGTGGCTCAGTGGTTGAGTGTCGACCTAGGAACCAGGTGGTCATGCTTTGATTCCCAGTCAGGGCACAGGCCTGGGTTGCCAGCTCGATCCCCAGTAAGGGGGTGTGCAGGACGCAGCTGATCAATGATTCTCATTATTGATGTTTCTATCTCTCCCTCCCTTTCCCTTCCTCTCTGAAATCAATAAAATATATATTTGAGCCCTGGCCAGTTTGGCTCAGTGGATAAAGAATTGGCCCACAGACAGAAGGGTCCTAGTCCTGGGTTTGATTCCGGTCAAGGGCACGCACCTCGGTTGCAGGCTCCATCCCATTCCTGGTCCGGGCACGTGTGGGAGGCAACCAATTGATGTGTCTCTCACATCGATGTGTCTCTCTGTCTCTTCCCCTCCTTTTCTCTCTTCCTGCTTCCCTTGGGAATGGGCAACCGAGGAGTCCTGATCTTCAAACTCAGTTGGAGGGCAGACCTGCTCTGCCTGTAAGCCAGAAGCATGTGTTCAGGGCCCCTACCAAGCCTGGACTTGCAGCAACCAGAAACAATTTTTGGAATGATTCTGCTATTTCAATAACAATAAGGTGTCATGGGAAAATTCAGACTTCTGTTTTAACACTTACTTCACTGTGGTTTACAGCTTGAGTTGAATTCGAATGGAGTGGGGATGGGGCACCATCGTCTTTTCATTGCCACCTGACTCTAGTGGGAATCCAGGCTGATCTGAGGAGCTGTCGGTAGAGAGTGGGGCTGGATTCCGAATCCATCTCTGGCTGGTTTGCTTGTGTTTGCAATATCTCCATAGCTTTGTGCTGGGTTGTGGCCTGTGGGTCTTCGTATCTGTGTGTGCAATTTCGTGTCTGTGATGTGCAGTTCTGTTGGCTTTTTAAAAATATATGTTTTATTGATTTTTAGAGAGAGAGGGAGGGAGAGGAATAGATAGAAATAGAAACATGGATGAGAGAGAAACAATCGATCGGCTGCCTCCTGCACACATCCCTACTGGGGATCGAGCCCAAAACCCCGGGCATGTGCCCTGACCGGGAATTGAACTGGCGACCTCTTGGTTACTGGGTCGACATTCAACCACTGAGCCACACCAGCTGGGCAGTTCTGTTGGCTGTTCAGCCCGACACACCCACATTGCTCGGTGGGTGGGGGACACTATGCCCTTTCCCTTCATTGTCTCGCGGACTCCCCAAACCAGGGAGTTGTGGTTATTATCCTATTCTTCCGACGATGAAACAGGCTCAGATAGCTGGCGAGGCTTGCTTAGGGTCATACAGCTAGTAAATGGGGGTATTGGGATTTAACTGCCACGTGACCCCTGAACCAGCTGTTCCTAAGGTATTGCGACACCTTAACTCATGCCGTGCACTCAGCAAGTGTGGTCACACCACCCTTCTTCGGAATCACCAAGTACCACAGGTTTCTAATATTGACTTTGGTGTTTAATAAATAAAATGAGCCCGGCTGGCTTAGCTCAGTGGTTGAGTGTTGAGGTCACAGTTCGATTCCCGGTCAGGGCACATGCCTGGGTTGCAGGCTCCATCCCCAGTGTGGGGCGTGCAGGAGGCAGCCGATCAATGATTCGCTCATCATTGATGTGTCTATCTCTCTCTCCCTCTCCCTTCCTCTCTGAAATCAATAAAAATATAAAGCAATCAAAATAAATAAATGAATAAATAAGACGAGATTTAAGGCAATGCCTGAAATAATGGCATTGTCGCAAGCATTCAGGAGCCGGCTGCTGGGTCATAGGGTAGGGAGGGGGCTGGCTCCCAGGTACCACCTTAGAGGCCTGGCTCTGCTTCATTCACCTGAAGCCCTCCTTGTCTGGGGTGGCTGGAATTCACCCCCAAAAGTCCCGTTAGGTTTGCATTTCAGATAGACAACAAATACTTTTTTGTATAGCATAGTTAAGTTTTTAGTAAAAGGACGCATGAGCCATGCTTCCACTCAGAAATTATTCATTGTTTTTCTGAAATTCAAATACAGCTGGGCAGCCTGTATTTTATCTGGCCACCCTGTGGCTGGCCTCTCCCTCCCCAGTCCCGACTGGCTGACTCCCTTGCACTTCCTGAGCCGCACTGAGCTCCTCCTGAATGAGAGTCTCTTGTCTTTGAGATCCGGATCCTCCCTGAAGGTCAGGGTCAAGACTGCCCTCCAGCCTGTCCGCCTGTCCGGGTGCAAATCCCCACCACCGCCCCACAGCAGTGGCGGGACAGTGCCAGGGTGTGCTTCCCGTGCATAGCGGCAGCATGGCTGTGTGTGTGTGTGTGTGTGTGTGTGTGTGTGTGTGTGTGCGCGCGCGCACGCGCGCCAAGCCTGCCACACACGGACATGTGAACAGCTCTGAGGTTCTCACTCGGTCTTGGAGGACGGTGCACACTGCTGAGCGGCTGGGTGCATTTTCACAGAGAGCGATGAGGTTTAGCGGTGTGACTTAGTTTCGGGGTGGCCTTTTTGATCTCTGCTTCAGGGGGCACTGGGGACTCCGGCGAGCCCAGTGGTGGAGGGGCCAGTGCTGGTGGAGGACCTAGTCAGGTGTGGAGATGTGGATGTGCTTACGTGTGTGGGAGAAAATGTTGTGGATTATTTAAAAAAAACAGGCCAGTGCTAGCCGGGTTGGCTCCGTGGATAGAGCATAGGCCTGGCAGACTGAAGGGTCCTGGGTTTGATTCTAGTCAAGGGCACGTACCTGGATTGCAGGCTTGATCCCTGGCCCTAATCAGAGCGACCAATCCATGTGACTCTCTCACATGGATGTTTCTCTCTCTGTCTCCCCGCCTCCCTTCTACTCTCTAAAAATCAATGGGAAAATATCCTCTGGTGAGGATTCACAACAACAACAATTTTTTAAAAATAAAATAAAATTTAAGATAGAAAGGAAAAAAAGTACAAAAACAAGCCAGAGAAAAGCAATGCAGGCTGTACGTAGCTGGGTGGGGAGGAGATGGAGCAGTGGGCAGGGCTGTGGTATCTAGGAAGGGGAGGGCCTCCAGCTGGGGCTCCCATAGCGCGGATGGGATTTTTTTATCCTCCAGTTCCAACTCCACCAGGCTCAGAGCAGAGCTCAGAAATATTTAGGGGATTAAATGAACCCAAGGGAAGCCAGAAAGTCCAGCAGGTCATGAGGGGCCACCGAGGCCTAGCGGAGAAGTTCCTATTCTCCCCGTGGGAGCCACAGAAGGTTCTTGAGCAGGTAAGTGGCAAGACCTGGGGCCAAAGAGCCACTGAGGGAAAACAGGAGACAGGGACATGTAGGCAGAGGGACAGGGAGGGGAGCACTGAAATGGGGAGGGGGATCTTCAACCTTTCCCTCAATGGAGCCTTGCCTGGTTCTTGGCCAGGCTGAGGCTCCTGAACTGGAACCCCATTGTTCATCTCCGTATGGGCGGGGTTGGGGGTGTTGCTCTCTCCCTAGCCACACTGCAGCTCACCTGTCTCTGAAGCACCGAGGTACACCCCTCTCCCCCTGGCTCCCCTCTTCTCCAACCTCACCTTAGAGAGCATGCTTAAGGGAGGAGTCCAGTCTGTGGAAAGTCTGCATGGACTTGCTGTGTGATCTTGGGCAAGTCATTGCCCCTCTTTGTGTGTGTGTGTGTGGGGGGGGGGGGGGGGTTAATCCTCACCCAAGGATATTGTTTCTATTGACTTTTCGTTAGTTAGTTAGTTAGTTTTTCCATTGACTTTTTTTAGAGAGTGGAAGGGAGGGAAGGAGGGCGGCGAGAGAGAGAGAGAGAGAGAGAGAGAGAGAGAGAGAAACACCAACGTGAGAGAGACCCATAGATGGGATCAATAGAACTTGCAACCCAGATAAGTTCCCTTGTCTGGGAATCAAACCTGAGACTCTTTGGTGCATGGGCTGATGCTCTAACCACTGAGAACACCAGCCAGGCCTTTTTTATTTGTCCTGTTAACCCTCGCCGGAGGATATTTTTTTTCCATTAATTTGTACAGAGAGTAGAAGGGAGGGAGAGAGGAAGAGGAAGAAACATCAATGTGAGAGACACATCGATTGGTTGCGTCTCGCGCACGCACCCTGACAGGGGCTGGGCACAAACCTATGACACTTCTGTGTGGGGGGTGATGCTCTAACCACTGAGTAAACAGACCATGGCTCATTGCCCTCTCTCTGTCTTCATCTCCTCATTAGAACCTGGGCTGAAAATCCCTGCCCCTCTTCACCTGGGAAGCCAAGATGCCCCAGAACAGCTGAATTTCATTCAGCTTCCCATTCTGCAGGGCTGCCAGCACAGTGGCTGAGAAAAAGGAGAGGCTGGGCCACAGCAGGGCCTTGGAGGGTGGTATGGTCACCCTATCCCCAAGACAAGCAAAGGGAGAGGATCCCCAGCCAGGGCCTCGCTGCCCTGTGCAGAGTGGGTGGGGGGGACTTGCCCAGGGAGGCCTGCCTGCTTTGAGGTGGAGACAGGGCCGGGTCCTCCAGGCCAGAGGAGGCAGACTAGGGGTGCCTGGGACCCCAGCACCTACATGTGTACCTCCAATCGGGGTCTCTGCATGGCAGAGCGCCCGGCTTTACTCTCTGGATCCCTGGCCCTGTTAGCAGCTCCTGTCTGTGTCTCTCACTTTCTCTGGCCGTGTGTTTCTCGAACTGTGTCTCTGCGTGTGCCACCCTCCAGGTGATTCATCCTTCTCAACCCCACACCCAGGGGGAGGGGAGGGCAGGGCAGGACCAGGCCAGGATGTGCTGAGCAGGGCAGGGTGAGCAGCCCAGCTGAGCTAGAGGAGCGCCTCCCCCCTCCCAGCCAGGGCCCTGCCTGCCCAGGTGGGAAAGGAAGTGAGGAAACTGCACCCAAAGCAAGGTACAGGGTGGGGGTGGGGGGCTCAATCTGGGTCCTGGGGCACCACGTTCCCTCAGGACTGGGAGGGCACCGTGGCCTCAGTCCCCTGGGGCCTATCTGGCTGGACTGTGGCCAGGGTGGTGTCAGGGAGTCCGGGAAGCTGCGGGAACCCTGGGGGTTGGGCTAGTCCTTCCCTCCAGGACCGGGACCTAAAATTCCCTGGGACTCTTTTATGCCAGTGTGACCCTGTAGGCTGTCTCTGTGTGTGTCTAGCTGTGTTTTTGTAACACAGGCCCATGACCCATTAGACCAGGAGGCAAGTGTCATGTGTGCGTGTGCGTGCGTGCGTGCGTGTGTGTGTGTGTGTGTGTGTGTGTGTGTGGCTGAGCCCCTAAGAACCGGGGACATCATGGACATGCTTGTTTCATGTGTATGACCTAGTAAGTTATGCTATATGTGTGTGTCCTTGTGTTTCTGGGCACGTGGCAGTGTGTGACTGTGCTGAGGTTGGGTCTCACATGGGATACTGACCCTGTGTGGCTGTCGTCTTTGGGACACCATGTGACCATGTGGCCCTGCAATTGTGAAACACGGTGTGAGTGACACTGCGTATGTTCGAGACTCAGTGGAGCCATGTTCGAGGAGTATATGCACAGGTATATGATGAGGAGTGTTTGGGTAACTGTTGTGCAAGGCTGTTTGTGAAATAGCAGGCTTGCGAAGTGTGGCTGCGTGATCATATGCGACGCTGTGACCCGGGGGTCTTTGTGGCTATATGTGACCGGGTTTTCAGGAGCGTGATGGCATGTGATTGGACGTTTGAATTTATGTGGCTCTGCAGTCATGTGACACAGTAAATAACACCGGTGTCTCTGGGACAGGGTGGGCCCATTGGTGACTAAGATGGTGTGACACAGGGTAACAGACCCTCCATGGCTGTGAGAGGCCATGTGGCTGTGGCATAGACACGCTAACACCCTGTGTGTGGGTGGTAGCTCTTTTTATTTTTTTAAATATATTTTTATTGGTTTCGGAGAGGAAGGGAGAGGGAGAGAGAGATAGAAACATCAATGATGAGAGCGAATCATTATCCGCTGCCTCCTGCACGCCCCACATTGGGGAGCAAGCCCACAACCCGGGCATGTGCCCTTGACCGGAATTGACCCCGCGACCCTTCAGCCCGCAAGCCGACGCGCTATTGGGTGGTAGCTCTTTGACTGCCGCTCTCTTGTCCTCAAACTCTTCTGCCCACAGGATGGTCACTCGGCCCCTCAGCCTGCCATCCAGCCTTGCCCTCTCTGCTCCGGCCTCCATTGACTTCTGGATCATCTGAGACCCCCCCCCACACACACACACACACATTCCTTCCCTGAGGGCATGTCATCTCTAGGGGGTCCCTTGATACCAGACAGACCAAATCTTCTCTGCCAAGTGTGACCATCATCTGGCCCAGGGCCAAAGGCAGAGGTGGGTTTAGGGAGCCCACTTCGGGGCAAGAGGGACAGTACAAAAAGGCCTCCCATTTTTTGAATGTGTTACTGTCTTAAAGCTGTTCACATGACCTGAACTCTGGGTGCTGGGTGTGTGGATGTGGGTGTGGGTGTATGTAAGTGGAGGAAAGTAGTGCAGATTAGTGAGAATCTGGGATTTTAAGAAGCAAAACTTTTGCTCATGAAATACAATCTTATCATTTGCCAGACACTTAGCTATATAAAGTTGTCGGCAAGGAAGTCCTTAGATCCTTAGAAAAAGGGTTAAGAATGGTTTATGGCCCTAACCGGTTTGGCTCAGTGGATAGAACATCGGCCTGCAAACTGAAAGGTCCCAGGTTCGATTCCGGTCAAGGGCATGTACCTTGGTTGCGGGCACATCCACAGTAGGGGGGGGTGCAGGAGGCAGCTGATCGATGTGTCTCTCTCATTGATGTTTCTAACTCTCTATCCCTCTCCCTTCCTCTCTGTAAAAAATCAATAAAATATATTTTAAAAAGAGAATGATTTGTGCTCAGCCCTAGCCGGTTTGGCTCAGCAGACCAAAGAGTCCCAGGTTCAATTCCAGTCAAGGGCATGTACTTCAGTTGCAAACTCAATTCCCAGTCCTGGTGGGGGGTGTGTGGGAGAAAACAGATCCATGTGTCTCTCTCACATTGATGTTTATCTCTCTGTCTCTCCCCCTCCCTCCCACTCTCTCTAAAAATCAATGGGAAAAATATCCTTGGGTGAGGATTAACAAAAAAGAGAATGGTTTAGGCTCAATGTACCCACTTCGGTCAAATAAACCAGGCCTACAACTAAGCAAACTATAGGGTGCTCGCTCCCACCCCCACCTGGGTAAACTCCCAAGTAAATAATGACATGCAAGGGATCGATGTATTGATCACAAAGAACTCTTATCCTGTTGCCAAAGGTCTTCTCTAGTGGTGAAAACTCCCAGCCCCAGCTCCTGGCCTGGCTCCCGTCTGAGGGCTGGGATAGGGGCTTCCCAGGATGGCAGTGTGGCCAAGAGAGGGGTGCAGGGAAACCTGACACCCCAGACACCTGCTAAGACGTGCTACGCCCCAGCCCCCTTTGCAGTAACATCAGTTGCTTCACACCCAGTCTCTCCCTTCCTGCAGGGCTGCACCAGGGAAACCGGATCCTGGTGAAAAGTTTGTCCCTTGACCCTGGCCAGAACATTGAGCCTCATCCAGAAGGTCCCCAGCGGCTTCGCTCAGACCCTGGCCCCCCCACCGAAACCCCCAGCCAGCGTCCTTCGCCACTGAAGCGGGCACCAGGCCCAAAGCCACAGGGTAAGTTGTTCCAGAGAGTGGCAGGGAAATGGCCCAGGAGAGGGGAAGGAGGAAGGGAAAGGCTGGCCAGGGGCAGAGGAGAGGCGTGTTAGGAGAACACGAAGCACCATGTTCTCGGGGCAGAGGCTGTGGCTTGGAGCTAATGAGCACACACTGGGATCTCACCCCGGGCCTGCTCGGTGCCTACCTCAGGGAGTGTGGAGGGGCTGGTGGCCTGGCTGTGACAGCCCCATCCAAACCCACCACACTGGGATCTCCTCTCTTTGTCCCCTGTCATCCAGTCCCCCCAAAGCCCAGCTACCTGCAGATGCCCCGGATGCCCCCTCCACCCGAGCCCATCCCCCCTCCACCATCACGCCCACTGCCTGCAGACCCCCGAGTGGCCAAGGGCCTGGCTCCCAGGGCAGAGGCCAGCCCTAGTTCCGCAGCCGTATCCTCACTGATCGAGAAATTTGAAAGGTGAGTGTGGTGCCTGGGGGACCCTCTGGGCATGAGGGTGGGGGTGAGGGTGAGGGTAGGCCTGGGGTAGGCAGCACAGTCGTAAGACAGGCCTCACAGTCAAGCTCACACCTGCCTCCATGTGTGTCCACCTCACCTCAGGGAGCCTGTGATTGTCGCCTCGGACAGGCCAGCCCCTGGCCCCAGCCCAGGTCCCACAGAGCCAGCCATGCTGCCACAGCCACCCCCACAGCCTCCAGTGCCCCAGCTCCCTGAGGGCGAGGCCTCCCGCTGCCTCTTCCTGCTGGCTCCTGGGCCCCGGGATGGCGAGAAGGTGCCCAACCGGGACAGCGGCATTGACAGCATCAGCTCACCGTCCAACAGCGAGGAGACCTGCTTCGTCAGCGATGACGGGCCCCCCAGCCACAGCCTCTGCCCCGGGCCCCCTGCCCTGGCCAGTGTCCCCGCGGCCTTGGCTGACCCCCACCGGCCCAGCTCTCAGGAGGTGGATAGCGACCTGGAGGAGGAGGACGAGGAGGAGGAGGAGGAGAAGGACAGAGAAATCCCAGTGCCCCTGATGGAAAGACAGGAGTCTGTGGAGGTACTGACCCATGTTCACTGAGTGGCAGGACCCTGTGGAGAAACCAGAAACCTGGCTGGTCCGCTGGGTTCTTTCTCTAGCTCAGTACTTCTCCAAAGAGTGTGTTTCCACTTTGGATGTTGGGCTTCTCTGGTCCCCTGGTACTAACTATGAGTAGCAACACCCTGCCCCATCACCACTGTGACTACCAGCCTGACCGTGCACAGTTCCAAATGCCCACTTGGAAAATGGTTCCGCCCTCATTGGAGAAACACTAGTGGGGCCTCAGTTTTTCTTTTTTAAAAAAATATTTTTTAAAAAAAAATATATATTTTATTGATTTTTTACAGAGAGGAAGGGAGAGAGACAGAGAGTTAGAAACATCGATGAGAGAGAAACATCGATCAGCTGCCTCCTGCACATCTCCCACCGGGGATGTGCCTGCAACCCAGGTACATGCCCTTGACCGGAATCGAACCTGGGACCTTTCAGTCCGCAGGCCGACGCTCTATCCACTGAGCCAAACCGGTTTCGGCTTAAAAAAATATTTTTATTGATTTCAGAGAGGAAAGGAGAGGGAGAGAGAGATAGGAACATCAATGATGAGAGAGAATCATGGATCGCCTGCCTCCTGCACGCCCCACAGTGGAGATCGAGCCCGCAACCTGGGCACGTGCCCTGACTGGGAATTGAACCGTGACCTCCTGGTTCATAGGTCGATGCTCAACCACTGAGCCATACCGGCTGGGCTGTGCCTCAGTTTTTCCATCTTGAAGATGGCCATCCTAGTTGGGGACCTTCAGAGTCTTGTTCTAGCTCAAAAATCCCATGACTTACCCGCTATGGGATGTTGGGCAAGTCTCTGCTCCCCCACCATGAGCCTCAGTTTCTTTATTTGTAAAATAGAAAGCCTCTCACATTCAGAGGGACTTCTCCACAGCTGGCCTCCGGAGGGGCACAGGGGCTGGAGTGCCCCAGGGACCCGAGGCTCTGGGGACGAGGGCTCTCGGCCACAGGAACCTCTTTCTGGGCCCTGGCAGCCTAAAGCTGCTTCCAAAGGCATCCTTAGGATGCAGCCAGAAGTTGGGTTGTGGCCAGGATGCCTGCTCCACCAGAAACCAGCTCAAATGTGGGAGCTGAGGCCAGGGACTCTCCAAATATATGTCCAGTGAATAGGAAACTGGGCCAACAGGCAATGCGTTTTATACATTTTTAGACTTCTGTGTTTTCCTCCCACGCCAGGTACTCAGCGAGCCTTTGCTGACAGTGAACTGAGTGGGTGAATAAATACTAACATTTATAGACTACTTAATCCGCAGTCTGCTCTGTTTCACTTATATGAAATCATTTGTCTCGATTACAAATGGACGTAAGCGCTATTATTAGCTGTATATGTAGATAACGGCACTTAAATACAAAGCAGTTACACAATTTATGTAAGCTAACGAGTGGCAGAGCTAGGATTTGAACCCAGGAAGTCTGACTTCCTGACCCACAGGCCTAACCACTGCACTATGTAAATGAATGGAGAGAGCCGACTGCTGTGTGAGTGAGTGACCTAGTGAAGGAGTGCATGGCATCTGGATTGTGGGGTGGCTTTTTAAAAATATATTTTTATTGGTTTCAGAGAGGAAGGGAGAGGGAGAGATAGAAACACCAATGATGAGACAGAATCATTGATCGGCTGCCTCCTGCACGCCCCCTACTGGGGATTGAGCCTGCAACCTGGGCATGCGCCCTGACCGGGAATCTAACTGTGACCTCCTGGTTCATAGGTCGACGAGCAACCACTGAGCCACGCCAGCCGGGTGAGGGGTGGCTTTTATGATACATTGAAGAGTCAGGGATGAAACTAGGGGGCTTAAAGGTCTAGAAATGGGATGTAGGGTTATCTCTGGCATTAGACTTAGACTAGCCTTTGAGGTATTCTGAGAATTCTGGGGGCTTGGGTAAAGGTTAGAGTACAAGACTGTGGGTCAGGTTGCCTCTTCTCCTTTCCAGTTGACCGTGCAGCAGAAGGTGTTCCACATTGCCAATGAGCTCCTGCAGACCGAGAAGGCCTACGTTTCCAGGCTCCACCTCCTGGATCAGGTGAATAGCCCCTCGGGGTCCCGGGGCCCTGGGATCTGGTAGGTGGATGCCCAGGAGGAAGTGATAGGACCTGAGCCCAACCCTTCCATTGGGGCTAGAATCTAGAGGTGGTAAGGCTCCTCTCTGACCTTGACCCCCATCCTGTCCCTAAAGTCTACTTTGATTATGACCCTAAACTTGATTTTTATACCAACCTTCATCCCTAACCCTGGGTGGGTACACCAGCCCTAACTGCAACTCTGACCCAGATCCTGAATTGACCCCTGGCTGTAAACCAGACCTTGAACCTCATTCTAACACTGACCCCAAATCCACTAGAATCACTAAGGGCAGGGACTTTTAACTGCTTTCTTCACTGCCTGGCACACAGTAGGCACTCAAAAATATTTGTGAAATGAACAAATCTAATTCCAACCTTCTCTCTGACCCTGAATCTAATTCTGACCTTGACCCTGATTCTGAATTTTCACTGTTCCAGTGCCTACCTCTAGGTCCTAACCTTGACCACCTGATCCAACCCCACATGGAAATCTAACGCCATTCCCTCTCTCCTCAGTCTCAAGACCATGCTGATCCTAAAGGTCCACAGTGCTACCCACAAACACTGCCCTCACCTGCGAGCCACCCCTTTCCTAGCCAAACCCCAGGCCCAGCTGGTCTGAGCCTTCTGCCCTGCCCCACAGGTGTTCTGTGCCCGGCTGCTGGAAGAAGCCCGGAACCGCAGTTCCTTCCCGGCCGATGTTGTCCACGGCATCTTCTCTAACATCTGCTCCATCTATTGCTTCCACCAGCAATTCCTGCTGCCTGAGCTAGAGAAGCGCATGGAAGAATGGTGAGGGGCCCCAGATCTAGGCTTCTGTCCTCCTGTCCACTTGCCTGTTGACACTCAGGCCAGATGTGTGCACAAGTTCATTGCTGCCTGCCCTCTGCCCTTACCACCTGTCACAGAAAGAATCAGGCCCAAGCTCTGCCTTCTAGGCCCTCCCAGACTAATAGGAAACACAGTCCAGGACTCAGAAAATTATAACAGAACTAGAGGCCCGGTGCACGAATTTGTGCACCAGTGAGGTCCCTCAGCCTGGTCTGTGGGATCAGGCCGAAACCAGCTCTCTGACATCCCCTGAGGGGTCCCGTATTGCAAGAGGGCGCAGGCCAGGCTGAGGGACCCCACCAGTGCACGATTGGGGCAAGGGAGGGACACTGGAGGTTGGCCAGCCAGGGAGGGACTGCGGGAGGGCTCCAGGGTGTGCCCGGCCCGTCTCGCTCAGTCCTAATCGGCCAGACCCCAGCAGCAAGCTAACCTACCAGTCAGAGCATCTACTGCCTGGTGGTCAGTGCACATCATAGCGACTGGTCAATCGGTCGACTGTCTGCCCCCTGGTGGTCAGTGCACATCATAGTGAGCGGTTGAGTGGCCTTAGCATATTATTAGCATATTATGCTTTGATTGGTTGAACGGCCGACAGGATGACCGGACACTTAGCATATTAGGCGTTTATTATATAGGGTAGCAAAGCCCTTAAGAGTATGAGGTTAAGAGCCAAACGGGCTGGGTTCATATTCTAGCTCTGTCATGTGTAGATTTGTGACATTACGTTTCTTAAATCACTGTGGTTCAGTTTCCTCTCTGTGGAATAAAAGTAGTAAGAATAGGCTCACTTGTAATGCTTTAAGGATTAAATTAGCTCATTCATGTAGAGAACAGTAGCTGGTATATAAGAATTGCTCAATGAATGTGAGCTGTTGATATTTTTCACCGGTGCTATGACAGAGCTCAGAATGGGAGGCTGTGGGAATCCAGACAAACGGACCAAACCAAGCCTAGCGGGGAGGGGTTAGAGAAGGGTCTAAGGAGGAGGTGAGGCCTAAGCTGAGGCCTGAGGTAGGAGGGCAGGGGTGATAGACAGTCTCCCAACCTCCAGGCTCTCCTCTTCCAATCCATCCTTTAGAGCAGGAGTGGGGAACCTTTTTTCTGCCAAGGGCCATTTGGATATTTATAACATCATTTGCGGCCATACAAAATAATCAACTTAAAAATTAGCCTGCTATAGGCTCAATCCCCAGCTCTGGTCAGGGCTTGAGCGGGAGACAACCAATCAATGTGTCTCCCTCATACCGATGTTTCTCTCTCTCTGTCTCTCTTCCTCCCTTCCACTCTTTCTAAAAATCAATGGAAAAAAATATCCTTGGGTGAGTATTAACCACAACAACAACAAAATTAGCCTGCTACGCCCTAGCCGGTTTGGCTCAGTAGATGGAGCCTGCAGACTGAAGGGTCCCAGGTTCGATTCTGGTCAAGAGCACATGCCTCCATGGGCAGGTTCTTCCCAGGCCCAGGTCCTGGTCAGGGCACATACAGGAGGCAACCAATTGGTGTGTTTCTCTCACATTGATGTTTCTGTCTCTGTCTTTCCCTCTCTCTTCTACTCTCTCTAAAAAAAAATAAAATAAAAATCAATGGAAAAATACCCTCAAGTGAGGAGTAAAAACAACAACAAAAACCAAAAAAAAAATCACCTGCTATATTTGGTTAAACATTTAATTAATGCACCCCTAAATGATTTTCCCCACCCTTGCTCTAGAGCAGCGGTTCTCAACCTATGGGTCGCGACCCCTTTGGGGGTCGAACGACCCTTTCACAGGGGTCGCCTAAGACCATCGGAAAACACATATATAATTACATATTGTTTTTGTGATTAATCACTATGCTTTAATTATGTTCAATTTGTAACAATGAAATTGGGGGTCCCCACAACATGAGGAACTGTATTAAAGGGTCGTGGCATTAGGAAGGTAGAGAACCACTGCTCTAGAGTCTACACCAGCTGCCAGAATGGTCTTTCTGAAGGATAATCAGACCATGTCACTTCCTGTTTAAAATCACCTCTACACTCCCCACAACCACAGGATAAAATATGTCCCCCTCACCAGACAAGGACCAGAGAGGGCTGGCTGAAGCCAATTTCCACAACTGGCTGTGACCCTTGAAGGCTGAACCAGGCATCATCCTGTGTGTCCCGGAACTGATTGAGACTACTGAGGAGTGCTACCAGGCCTGATCACTTTGCCTCCCCTACTAGACCATTCCCCTCTTGGGGCTCCACTAAATTTGACTCATTTGTATCCCCAGAATCACCCAGCACAAGACTGGGTGCAGAATCAATAATCAGTGTATTTCCCAGCCAGTGGGGAGCATGCACGAGGCAGCTCATCAATGATTCTCTCTCATCATTGATGTTTCTATCTCTCTCTCCCTCTCCCTTCCTCTCTGAAATCAATAAAAATATATTTTAAAAAAATAATGATCAGTGCATGAAGTGGCCCTTGCAGTGAGGTCAGGGCAGGTATCCAGGGCATGTCACTCCTGCTGTTGAGCAGGGCAGCATTGGGGTAGGTGGCAGCCCAGGCCAAAGTTTCACATCAAGCTGAGTGTCTTGGCCTAATTGGCTGATAATAGAAGCAGAACTTCCAAAGGAGCAGACTGGCCTGGCCGGTGTGGCTCAGTGGTTGAGTGTCGACCTATGACCCAGGAGGTCATGGTTCGATTCCCGGTCAGGGCACATGCCCCGGTTGTGGGATCAATCCCCAGTGTGCAACATGCAGGAGGCAGCGAGTGATGATTCTCTTTCATCACTGATGTTTCTCTCTCTCCCCCTCCCTTCCTCTCTGAAATCAATAAAAATACATTTAAAGCCTAAACCGGTTTGGCTCAGTGGATAGAGCGTCGGCTTGTGGACTGAAAGGTCCCAGGTTCGATTCCGGTCAGGGGCATGTACCTGGGTTGTGGGCACATCCCCAGTAGATGTGCAGGAGGCAGCTGATCGATGTTTCTCTCTCATCGATGTTTCTAACTCTCTATCTCTCTCCCTTCCTCTCTGTAAAAAATCAATATAATATATTTTTAAAAAAATACATTTAAAAAACAACAACAAAGGAGCAGACTGGCTGAGAAGTAGATGTCCAGGACCAAGAGACCCCATGGGTCTCTGCTTGGGCCTGGTAGGGGGCAGCGGGAGGGCTGAGGACAAGGATCAACAGGACCATGTCAGCCCCTGCCTCCATCCCAGGGACCGCTACCCACGCATCGGAGACATCCTGCAGAAGCTGGCGCCCTTCCTCAAGATGTACGGCGAGTATGTGAAAAACTTCGACCGTGCTGTGGAGCTGGTCAACACCTGGACAGAGCGCTCCACCCAGTTTAAAGTGATCATCCACGAGGTGCAGGTACGCGGCCAAGAGGGATGGGGCAGGTGGGAGGAGAGGTCTGTGGGGGCCCAGTGTGGGGTCTGTGGCCAGTCCTGAGCCCCTGTGCCTCTGCCCATCACAGAAGGAGGAAGCCTGTGGCAACCTGACGCTGCAGCACCACATGCTGGAGCCCGTGCAGCGCATCCCCCGCTACGAGCTGCTTCTCAAGGACTATCTTCTAAAGCTGCCCCACGGCTCCCCGGACAGCAAGGATGCCCAAAGTGAGTGTACACACCCGGGCCCAGCCCCCTGCCAAGACTTCATTCACGGGCCAGCCTTCCTTTGCCACATAGTTGAAATCCCAGAATGGGATCTCCAAGCCGAAAGGCCCACCTGGAGGCTCTGGAGTGAGGCCCCAGGGTGAACCTCCAGGTTGAGGACTCTGCCCGAGGACACACACAGACCATTCAAGAGCCCCCCCCCCCCTGAAGTTCCCAACTGGAATGCCAGAGTTGGAGGCGCATGCCCAGAATGATCCCCTAAAGGCAGACACCTGCTTCCTAGGCCAAGACCCCAAAGCTGACCCCTAGACTTGTCCTCAAAGGAAGTTGTCCAAGTCCAAAGGCACTGAGCCACTATGACAGCGATTCTCAACCTGTGGGTCGCGACCCCTTTGGCAGTCAAACGCGACCCTTTCACAGGGGTCGCCTAAGACCATCCTGCATATCAGATATTTACATGACGATTCATAACAGTAGCGACATGACAGTTATGAAGTAGCAACGAAAATAGTTTTATGGTTGGGTCACAACATGAGGAACTGTATTTAAAGGGCCAGAAGGTTGAGAACCACTGCACTAGGCTGAGAGTCCAGACTGACCTGCAGGTCGGTCTCCACAGCTGAGCTGAGATTTGTCGGATTGTCCATTCTCCACATTTAGAGCTCCACTTCCTGTCTGCCAGCCCCCATCCAGAATGAACCTCCCCAAACAGCCTCCGAGTCTGATCGGAGCCCCCGAGCATAAGCTCTCCAGAACGGAGCCTCCCAGACAGGACTTGGTGTTTTCTGCCTCCAAGATTTAGATCTCTAGGCTGAGATGCCGCCTCCCCACATTGAACCACTAGAAAGTGTTTCATTCTGATTCCTCCAGTATGAGACCCACCCCCAGGGTCACCCCCGCCAAAAGTGCTCCCCAGAGTCTCCCCAGCTTTCTCCCAGTCTGGTCTCCTTGTTCACCATTCTATAGAAGGGTATTGCCAAATGAATCTCTCCATTTACTGCCCCTCAGACTGAGCCCAAAAGACTGACACTCAAGATCCATCCCGCAGACCGAGACCACTGAGTCCTCAGACTGGATTCCTAGAGTTCCCCAGTGTGAACCCCAGAGAGAACCCTGAGACTGAGCTACCCAGACTGAGCTCCAGGCAGAAACTCAGACTCTCTTCTCCCTAGCCCAAGTCCCCCAAATTAGGCTACTTATGCCAAGCTCCAAGTCTGACCTTCTGTCTCAACTCCCAGACCAACTTGCCCCAGACCAAGCTCCCCCATTTTCTTTTTTTAATATATTTTTATTAATTTCAGAGAGGAAGGGAGAGAGAGAAAAAAATATCAATGATGAGAAAGAATCATTGATCAGCTGCCTCCTGCAAGCTCCCCACTGGGGATCGAGGCTGAAACCCAGGCATGTGCTCTGACTGGGAATCGAACTGAGACCTCCTGGTTCATGGGCCAATGCTCAACCACTGAGCCACACTGGCAGGGCTGTTGTGGTTATTTTTAATGGTAATGATTATCTTGTTAAGCTTGCATTGTATAGGCCGCCAGCTATCCCATGTATTATGATTCTGCATTGAGACAGTTTCTGATTTTGTGTGATGTTGCTATGGACATCTTTGAGGCTGGTGCTTTCTGGGATGGGGAGGGTGTAGGCAGGCCAGGAGGAGGTATTCAGGAAGCAAAGGAGCTCCCAAGAGCCTCTTCTCTGCTAGGCCTTCCTCCATCTGACTTCCCACTCTGCCCACAGAGTCTCTGGAGCTGATAGCCACCGCCGCGGAGCACTCTAACGCTGCCATCCGCAAAATGGTGAGTGGCCTCTTGCCCTGCCCTTCCTTGGCCACCCGCCTGTGCTGTCTCTGTCCTGGAGGGCTTGCTCGTTGAGGCCAGCACCCCAACCCTGCCTTTTGCTCACTGTCTCTTGCCAGGAGCGAATGCACAAGCTGTTGAAAGTATATGAGCTGCTAGGGGGTGAGGAAGACATCGTCAGCCCCACCAAAGAGCTCATCAAAGAAGGCCACATCCTTAAGCTGTCAGCGAAGAATGGGACCACTCAAGACCGATACCTCATATTAGTAAGTGCCAGGTGTGGGGTTGCGGGTGGGCCAGGCCCTCCATACATGTTGGCCTGGTACTCACTCAAGACTGTACCTCCTGCTAGTCACTCTTTCCTCCATTGACTCATTGCACTTTCACTACCTACACTAGGAATGGTTTTCCCTCTACTTTACAGATGATATAACTAAGACCAAGAGAAGTGACTTGCCCAAGGTCACTAACCTAGGAAGTGACTCCCATGCCTAGACTCTTTCCTTGCAACGTTTATCTATCTATCTATCTATCTATCTATCTATCTATCTATCTATTTATTGTTAATCCTCACCTGAGGATATTTTTCCATTGATTTTTAGGGAGAGTGGAAGGGAGAGGGAAAGACAGAGAGAAACATCAATGTGAGAGAAATACATCGATTGGTTGCCTCCTGCATGGGCCAGGGAGGAGCCTGCAACCAATGTACATGCCCTTGACCGGAATCGAACCCGGGATCCTTTGGTCTGCAGGCCGACGCTCTATCCACCGAGCCAAACTGGCTAGGGCTCCTTGCGACCTTTGTGTCCTGTCTAGGCCGTTGTCTCCATCTGTTGCCTTGACTCCCCAGTCATAAAGCTTCAGGAGTCTTATAAGACTGTAGGGAGCTGGCGCACCTACAGCCCAACGTTTTCCTTCCTAGTTCAATGACCGCCTCCTCTACTGCGTGCCCAGGCTGCGGCTCCTTGGCCAGAAGTTTAGCGTGCGGGCACGCATCGATGTAGATGGCATGGAGGTAAGTGCCAGGGCGTGGGAAATGGGAACCGGAAATGGGGCCTTGGTGCTGGGAGGTTGTAACAGAGGCGTCTGACTTTGCCCCCCCAAGTCTGTGTGCGCATGCGTGCAAAGGATGAGGGATTCAATAGCCCTCACAAAGCCGCTTTCTCCCTCTATTTCAGCTAAAGGAAAGCTCCAACCTCAATCTGCCTCGGACCTTCCTGGTGTCAGGAAAGCAGCGCTCCCTGGAGCTCCAGGCCAGGTACCTGCCCTTGCCTGTACCTTCCCTTCAGATAGGCTGAGGCATTCTCTGCCTAGGGCCATGCGCAACAGGCTACCTCCCCAGGGGAGAGATGTTCCTGGGAAAGGGTGGGCACCTTTCCCCAAAGATGCTTCTTCTTCTGGTGGGTTTGAATAACAACACAAAGAGTTTATTGTAGATTCAGAGATTCAAGAGAAATACCAACTACAATGCTTGATCCCTGGTGTGAGAAAAACAGCCCTAAAAGATATTTGCAAGACAATTGGGAAAATGTAAATGTGAATTGAGCTTTTGGGAAATGACTGCTAAATTCCTCAGGGAGTGGATGAGAGAATGGTCTTGTTTTCTGATGATGTATGCTGAGGAGTTCGTATCATATGTGTAATTTATTTTTAAATGACTTATCAACCAAAAATACATACATATATACACTTTTACACACACACATATATCAATAAAAATGAAGCAAATATAGGAACATATTTTAAATTTTTGCATCTATATAGTGGGTAGATATTTAATGTATTTGTACTATACTGTGTTTTTCAGTATGCTTGAAATTTTTCTTTTTTATTTTCTTTTTAAAATATATTTTTATTGATTTCAGAGAGGAAGGGAGAGGGAGAGACAGATAGAAACATCAATGATGAGAGAGAATCATTGATCGTCTGCCTCCTGCACACCCCCTACTGGGGATTGAGCCCTGATTGGAATCAAATCCAGGACCCTTCAGTCTGCAGGCCGATGCTCTATCCACATTGAGCCAAACCAGCTAGGATGAAATTTTTCTTCCTTTTTATTGAATTTATTGGGGTGACACTGGTTAAAATGATAGGGGTTTCAGGTCCACAATTCCACAACAGATCATCTGTGCACTGTTTGTTCACCACCCCAAGTCAAGTCTCCATCTATCACCACTTATCCCCCCCATATCCTCTTCCACCTCCCTCCACTCCCCCTCCCCCCAGCAATCCCACACTGTTGTCCATGACTTTTGACATTTTTCAAACAGGAAAACAAATTTAAATAATAAAGTTAAAAGTAATGTCCAGCCATTAAACAAAGAGGCTTCTTTCTTATCTATCCTCTACTTGGATGGTTATAATAGTAGCTCACATTTAATGAAGACGTACTTGCTCTTATGCCAGGCACTGTTTTAACTTAATTTTAGCTTCAACAATTTAAGTGTAATCAATCCTTAAAACAACCCCTTGCCTGGCGGGTGTGTCTCAGTAGTTGAGCGTTGACCTCTGAACCAGGAGGTCATGGTTCCATTCCCATGATTCTCTCTCATCATTGATGTTTCTATCTCTCCCTCTCCCTTCCTCTCTGAAATCAGTAAAAATATGTTTTCAAAAAATAAAACAACCCTTGAAGCTACTGTTACCATCTACCCCATTTTACAGATGAGAAAACTGAGGCACAGAAGAGTTAGGCACCTTGCCCAAGATCCCACAGCTAGAAAGGAGCAGAGCTGGGATTGGAGCTCATGCTGCCTTCTGAGGGCCCGGGTGATAGGTACCGAGGTCATGGTCGAGGCCAGAGAATGGATGCATATGGCTAGATCCGTGGTCGGCAAACCGCGGCTCACAAGCCACATGCGGCTCTTTGGCCCCTTGAGTGTGGCTCTTCCACAAAATACGTGTGGGCATGCACGTACAGTGCGATTGAAACTTTGTGGCCCATTCACAGTAGTCGGTATTTTATGGAAGAGCCACACTCAAGGGGCCAAAGAGCCGCATGTGGCTCGCGAGCCGCAGTTTGCTGACCACTGGGCTAGATGATCTGCTTCTGACAGACTGCAAAGAAGTGAGAAATGAGAGTCAGAACCCTCATTGCTGGGGCTGCTGAGAGGCAGGAGAGAGAGAGAGAGAGAGGCGAATGCGGGCTAGAGGGTGTTTGAAGCTCTGGGAGACAAAGCATCCTGGAGGCCTGAGGCCAGGAAAAGAAGAACAAAGCCTACTGGTATGGGGGGGGGGGCAGGTGTGGGGCCCTGCAGGGTGTATAGTCTGCTGGGGATGAGAGAGGGGGCTGCTGAGGAAAGCTGGGCGAAGAAGGGCGCGCTGAGCAGTGCAGGGTTTCCTCCTAGTGGCGGGAGGAAAGCATGGAGGGTTTGCTTTGCAATCCTGCCTTTAAAAATATATTTTAATGAAAAATGTCAAATATGGAGAAAAGTCAAAATACAACAAACACCCATATGCCCACCATTTAGACAACCGAATCTCAACCTTGGTGACAACCTCACCTGGGGAGCTTTTAAAAAACCTGATTATCTCTCTCTCTTCCTCCCAATTTTTTTGGGAGGCAGCTGAAAATTTTTGGTGGCCTTGCTTCGGCAAGGCTTTCGTATTTTGTTTAAAAGAAAGAACTGAAAAGCTTAATGGTTTCAGGTTAAGGAGCTGGCAAGCAAGGGAAAATCGGCATTAACTAAAGACTGCACGTTTCTCCGGCTGTGGAGCCAGAGGGCTGGTGGACGGAGTGGGAGAAGGAAGCGAGGGCGGGGGGAAATGGCAGATATCTGTAATACTATCAACAATAAGAAATATTTTTTGGAAAAAAAAAACCTGATGTTTGGCACCCTGCCCCCCAGAGACCCTGATATAATTTGTGTGGGGTGTAGCCTGAACATGGGGAGTTTTAACAGCTCCCAGGTGTATTAGTGTGTGCAAAAGGGTTTAGAACCACTGACTTAGAAGTCAACAACTATTGACATTTTGCTTTATTTATCTTTTACTGAATCATTTCTTTAAATGTCTTTTTTTTCTTATTTCAAAGAGGAAGTGGGGGGGGAGTGAGATAGAAACATCAAAGATGAGAGAATCATTGATAGGCTGCCTCCTGCACGCCTCCTACTGGGGATTGAGCCTGCAACCCAGGCATGTGCCCTGACCAGGAGTCAAATAGGTTGACACTCAACCACTGAGTCATGCTGGCCAGGCTTACTAAACCATTTAATTAATTAATTAATTTATTTTTTACTCCTCACCTGAGGATATTTTTCCATTGATGGAAAAGAGAGGGAAAGACAGAGAGAAACATGGATGTGAGAGAAACACATCAATTAGTTGCCTCCTGCATGTGCCCTGACAAGGGCGGAGCCTACAACCGAGGTACATACCCTTGACCGAAATCAAACCCGGAACCCTTCAGTCCACAGGCCAATGCTCTATCCACTGAGCCAAACCGGCTTACTAAACCATTTTAAAGTAAATTACAGACATGGCCCTTCACCCCTATATACTTCAGCATGTATTGCCAAAAACACTATTGTGGCTCTTAAAAATCAAAAGCAATCTTTTCTGCAATAGAAATTAGAAAATATAAACAAAGTAGAATTTTAAAAAATAGTACAATGAGAATAAAGTAAAATTCCCTAGAATTGTACCACCTAGAGAGAACCAGTGCTGCTGTGTTGGCAGATCCCCTCTGAGGCCTTTCCTCTATTCACATATGTGTGCACGCACGTGTGTGTGTGTGTGTGTGTGTGTGTGTGTGTGTGTGTATTTTACTATGAAAAATTTCCAAGACACAGAAAAGTTTAAAGAATTGTACAATGAACACCTAGAAGCCCACTGTATAGATTCTGCAAATCTTTTTATCCATCTACCAATCCATCTGATTTTTAAAATGCATTTCAAAGTCATTTGTAGACATTGCTACACCTCACCCCTAAAGACTTTCATGGTCATATAATCAACTAAAGTTCAATATTTGTTTTAGGTATCCTTCTCCTGAGGCAAAATTTTCAAACAGTGAAATGCATACGCCTTAAGGGGGTCAAATTTATTGATGAGTTTTGACAAATGTAAACACTCATGTCACATATATATTTTTTAAATATTTGGTGTTTAGAAAGAAAGGAAGGGAGAGAGAGAACCATTGATGTAAGAGAGAGAAACATCGATTGGCTACCTCCTGCTCGTTCCCCACTGAGGATCAAGCCAGAAACCTGGGCATGTGCCCTGACTGGGAATTGAACTGGCAACTTTTCGGTGCATGAGACAACTTCCAACCAACTGAGCCACACTGGCCAGGGCTCACATATAATTTTTAAACAAAAATAGAATGCTGGCCCTGGCCGGTGTTCAGTAGTGATGTACTTTTTTTTTTTTTTTACCTGATTCCCTATTGTCAGAGACTTAGGCTACTTCCAATTTTTTCACTAGCATAAATAGCATTGCAGTGAACATACTTGTAGCTAAATATTGGCTCACATCCTTAATTTTTCATGAAGTGGTTCTAAAGATATAATCACACTTTCATACTAGAAAAGCACTTTTTAAAAAAAATTTTTATTGATTTCAGAGAGGAAAGGAGAGGGAGAGAGAGATAGAAACATCAATGATGAGAGAGAATCATTGATTGGCTGCCTCTTGCACCCCCCGTACTGGGGATCAAGCCCGAAACCCGGGCATGTGCCCTTGACCGGAATCAAACCTGGGACCCTTCAGTCTACAGGCTGATGCTCTATCCACTGAGCCAAACCAGCTAGGGTTAGAAGAGCACTTTTGATGTCTGGAGTATGCATATGAAGGTCATTAGAAGAGACCAGGAGGAAATCAGCCAAGAAGCTGGGCCAAGTCCCAGTGAGCACATGATGGGGCTGCAGCCAGGGCAGAGGCCTTGGAAACTGCGGGGCAGACAGGAGAGTCAGGGGAGAAAGGCAAAGGGAGGGGGAATTCCACACTAATTGAGCATCTAGTGTACCAGGGATTGTGCTGGGCATGTAAATGTCACCCCAGTTAAGTAATGATCATCTCCATTTTCCAAGTGAAGAAAAAGAAACTGCTCTTCTGTCTCAAACTTGACATTCCTGCAAGAGGGAACTATTTATCGTTCCTTGTATATCCCTACTGTCACACACACCTCATCTTTACCTGAAGCTTAGCACCTCCTTAAGGGAAGCCCTTCCTTAGCAACCCCCACCCAAACTGCAGATGGGTGGTCTCCTCTTCTGGACTCCTCAGCCCGATTTCACTGTGGCAGCACTAATACCCTTGTATTGTCCCTGTTTGTCCCCCCCACGCCCACCCCACCCCGCAGGCCACTAGCTCCTTGAGGGTAGGGTCCCCTCTGGGGCCCAAGTCCCTAGCACCAAGTCTGGAAGGTCTTAGTAACTACTGGATAAATAGCTCAGACAGGTTAAAGGATGTGCCTAAGGTCACATGCGTTATAAGTGAAGGAGTAGAGGGTCAAACCCAGGTCGATCTGACTCCAAAACACCTGCTCTTTACCTCTCTGATCGCTTTTGCTTGGCCTGCCTAACCCAACATCTTTCTTTTTTTGCCCCCAAGGACTGAGGAAGAGAAGAAAGACTGGGTCCAGGTAACATCCAAGAAGGCTTTGTGGTAGGGGCAGGAAGAATATTCACAGGCTCCCAAGGGGTTGGTGAACTCTCCCCTAAAACTGACATCTGACCACTATGAGCCTGGACAACATACTTTCCCAGTCCCATTTTACAGATAAGCTCACTGAGGTCCAGAGGTAAAAACTCACAAATTCTTCCTTTAGAGACCTGCCTCCTCTGGGAGGGTGAGCCCAGTGAGTTAAGCCCTGTAAAAGCGTAGTTAAGCCCAGACAGTGGCTAGGAAGGCCTTTTGAGGTTTTTCAGTCACTGATCTCCACCCTCATTTCACAAATATAAGAACTGAGACACCTAGCAAGGGGCAGAGCTGTGCCTAGAACACAACTTTTCTGACCTCGGGCTAGGTCATAGGAAAGTGAGGTGAGGGTGGAAATGGACGGGTTGTGAGGTGATCTGACCTACTTACACCTCCTCCCCAGGCCATCAACTCCACCCTTCTGAAGCATGAACAGACGCTGGAGACCTTCAAACTGTTGAACTCAACAAACAGGGAAGATGAAGACACACCCCCTAACTCTCCAGTAAGAGTCCCACCCCCTCCCTCTATACTGGACCTCCAAGTCCCACCTTACCCAGGGAGACCGGAAGCACAGTCTTGTTGGTAGGGCCGCAGATATCACTGGGGAAATGGAGGCCCAGAGAGTAGAAATGACTTGTGTTCAGTAGCACAATAAGGTAGGGATACAGCCGGGACTCAAAGGCAGGTCTCTTTTTTTTTCAGCAATGCCTTTAACATGCATACATGTAACATGTAATACAGTAGCAGAAAAACGGGAGTTAACAAAACTGTATAGCAGTATTAATTCTATATCTCCCGGAATTTATTTCGTATAAATCAGAAGCATATACTAAAGGGTAACTATGCTGATTGTGGCACAACACTCTGAACTATTACCACTGACTAGTCATTGAATATGGGAATATTGTACAATACTATGTTATATGTTTGTTTTTTAAATATATTTTTTATTGAATTTTTACAGAGAGAAAGGGAGAGGGATAGATAGTCAGAAACATCAATGAGAGAGAAACATCGATCAGCTGCCTCCCGCACACCCCCCACTGGGGATGTGCCCGCAACCAAGGCACATGCCCTCAACCGGAATCGAACCCAGGACCCTTCAGTCTGCCGGCCGACGCCTAATCCACTGAGCCAAACCGGTTAGGGCTATATTTTTTTTAAATATATTTTTATTGATTTCAGAGAGGAAGGGAGAGGGAGAGAGAGATAGAAACATCAATGATGAGACAGAATCATTGATTAGCTGCCTCCTGCACACCCCCCACTGGGGATCGAGCCTGCAACCTGGGCATATGCCCTGACTGGGAATTGAACTGGTGACCTCTTGGATCCTGGGTTGACACTAAACCGCTGAGTCACACCCAGCTGGGCTGTTTTTTATTTTTTTATATATATTTTTATTGATTCAGAGAGGAAGGGAGAGGGAGAGCTAGACACATCAATGATGACAGAGAATTACTGGCCGGCTGCCTCCTGCACACCCCCCACTGGGGATTGAGCCCGCAACCCAGGCATGTGCCCTTGACTGGAATCGAACCCAGGACCCCTCAATCCACAGGCTGATGCTCTATCCACTGAGCCAAACCAGCTAGGGTTGTTATATGTGTTTAAAAAAACAGCTTAGGTAACTTTAAGAAGGATAGGATTTTTTTAAATGCTTAACAGCTATGATAGGATTTTGTGAAATAAGAAAATTATGAAAGGCAGGTTCTGAATGTGTCTGCTGCCTCCCAGTGATGATCCAGGCCTTGGGGCAGGGGCGAGGGTTGGCTGGGCCGGCTGGGCTGGGCCTAGGGATAGCTGCCTCTGACCCAGGACCTGGCCCTCTCTGCAGAACGTGGATCTTGGGAAGCGTGCACCGACACCCATCCGAGAAAAGGAAGTCACCATGTGCATGCGCTGCCAGGAGCCCTTCAATTCCATCACCAAGCGCAGGCACCACTGCAAGGCCTGCGGGCACGTGAGTGTTGGGAGGCTGGGCAGAGCCAGGGAGGGGCCAGGCTGGCCACCTGAAGGCCCACTTCTGAGAGGGCAGGGTGAGGAAAGGCCGGGAGTCCATCATGGGAGTTGGGACACTGAAGGGGAAGGCCTTCTGGAAATCAGGCATCTCTTGCCCATTTGCCACTTCAGGTGGTTTGTGGGAAGTGCTCCGAGTTCCGGGCCCGCCTCATCTATGACAACAACCGCTCCAACCGTGTGTGTACTGACTGCTATGTGGCCTTGCACGGGGTGCCTGGGAGTAGCCCAGCCTGCAGCCAGCATACACCCCAGCGCCGGAGGTCCATCCTGGAGGTAAGAGCCAGGCCTATGAGCACTGACCCTCACACGCCAAGCACATGGGTCCCAGCCACCCACCCAGTGATTGAGGCCTGGGTATCTCTGAAACTGTAGTGCCACGTGCATCCACTGAACGAGTGACCCAAGCCTGGAGCTCGTAAAATGAATGCAACCAGATGAAAGCCAGTTGGGTCCTTTCGGCCATCTGGCAAAACCACCTGGCTTTTTATTTCAGTGCTTTAGGCATTTACCTTCATAGTAACGAATCTATCCAGGCTATTACTATCCCTGTTTTACAAATGAGGAAACTGAGGCCCAAGGAAGTTACTTAGCCAAGTTACACAACCAGTGAGTGGCAGAACTTGCATGTTTTTTAATTAACAAATGATCTCTTCTTATTACAAAGTAGGGATATGTGCACTGAAGAAAACTCGACAATCTAAACAAATAATAAAAACACCCTATTTCTTCTACCCACTAGAGTATCACTAACACTTATGCTTCCTATCTTTCTAGGCGCGTGCACATTTTGGTTTTGTTTCTTAGCCAAATCGAGGTATTTATTTTATTTAACATTTAAAGAACTCTTACTCTGTGCCAGGCACTATCCTAAGCGCTTTGCATCTATTAATTCATTTAATCCTTACAATAGCTCTATCTGTTTTCCTTCCGAGTCAATACATCATCTAGAGCTGGAATTCTGAGCCTTACCCACCCCACCCCCACCCCCCCATCCCCTTAACCACAATGCCAGGTCGCCTCTTGCTGAGTGTAGGGGATGGATATGACAAAAGATGAAAGAAAAAAAAGGTGAGGTACAAATGCATAAAAGGACTTGAGGAGTAAATGAACGGAGGGAAGAACGCCTGACTGGCATTTAGGTGCCTCTCCCACCAGCTCTTAGAGGTAGTAGCCATGGCCTGTCTGACTCACTGGGGGACATTGGGCAAATCACTACTGCCGCCTGAGCTTCAGCGTCCTCATCTGAAGTATGGGCACAGCAATACCTCCGCTGAGGGGTACTGAAGCCCAGAGGAGCCAGGCCAGGCCTTCTATCAACACTGATGCCCTCTATGTCTCTGGCCACAGAAGCAGGCCTCAGTGGCTGCGGAGAACAGCGTCATCTGCAGCTTCCTGCACTACATGGAGAAGGGCGGGAAAGGCTGGCACAAGGCATGGTTTGTGGTCCCTGAGAATGAGCCCTTGGTGCTGTACATCTACGGAGCCCCTCAGGTGTGCATCCTCCTTTGGGTCCCTTCACCCACCTGGCAGAGCCAGGCTACCCCCCTTCCCCTTCAGTCCTTGACCTCTCCTTGGCCTTGGGGATTGCGTGAACCTAAGTAGAAACCAGAACCCCCACCCTTGTGAGACAGACTGGCTAGAAACAAGGATTGTGGGCCAAGTGAGGGGTGGGGGGGGGGTGGGGGGGGGGGCTAGCTTC